GTAACTATGGAAGAAGGAACCAGTGTTTTGTTGGAAGCCTAGTATCATTAAAGTCACTCTCCGCAATCTCTATTGTGATCAGCTGTTTGACCAGCGCTGAATTAATGCAGCACACATGGCCAAGCCTATGAAAATAAATCACCTGGAATTCACCCAATTTCATCCGGTCACAGAAGCTAAGCATGGTTGAGCCTAGATAGTGCTCGGATGGTTGACCTCAAAACAAGTTGTCTTAGGCGACCGGGGGGGCGGGGGGGCTTCACACCAACTCGTGCTCACCAGTATGGCCCAGTGTGACCCTCATGAACCCGAGGGCGTGGGGAGGCCCTCATCCAGCAGTGGATGAACAAAAGAGCCGTCCGCGTACATGCATGCTCAAAAGCAGAGGTGTATTACTCAGGTGAGCTTATGCACGTTTCTCATAGCCACTCGGTCATACAGTCAAGTAGCTTGTAAAATAAATGCCATTAGTTTATGCAGCAAAGTTACTGAATAACGTTCCACTGTACACGGATAAATTGGAAACCCTACTTTCTGTAGTCTTCTACAGGCACCTCACAACGCTATGGGTATCTATAACGCAGATGGTGTAACCCCTACAAAATGTATCCCAAGCATTATCCATAACCCCTGTATTTCATTTATCACCATGACGGTGGTCATGGTAAGAACATTAATACACCCGTCGTTGCACCGCGTGGGCCCCAAACCAATTCTGATTAGCAGCCGCAGTGTTGTAACTGCAGCGCCACACCTGTGTCCAGGTTGCCAGGTGACGGCCATTATCACACCGCACTTGGGTTCAAGGTAGTTTGTGCAATACTTTTTCCAGCCCAGCGCAGCGATGTTTTCCGAGTGATTTTTTTTTGTACGGGGGGCTACTGATTTCCAAGGAATGCTTTATGTGCGTGTATGTTGAACTTCTTTCGCACCGTACGTAGCCAACCGAGATAATCGGAGGTGCGGGGGGGAAGGACAACAAACTAAACACAAAAAGCAGTTCTGAAGCTGTAGCCTTGTTTTAAGGATGAAGTTTAAACAAACAAAAAACTCAGCGGGTGGCACAACACGGTCACTGTTAAACTCTGAACAAATGTCCGACGCTAAATGGGATGAGTTAAAGCCATGACCTTATTTAGCTCTCATTCGTTCGACTTGAGCTCTTACCCCCACCCCCCCCTATTGTGTACGAGGAAAGACTGCGACGCCATTGCTTAGTCGTACAGTATTAATATTCGTGGCCTGACAATAGTTTATACGTGGGGCTGAGCCTTCATCAGAGGGTGTTCAGCCACCTCCTGCGCGCTGCATTTTTTCTGCGTCCTCGTCAACTCGGGACGGTTTTTCCCGTGATGGCGTGGAGAAGGCCGTGATGGCGTGGAGGAGGCCGTGATGGCGTGGAGGAGGCCGTGATGGCGTGGAGGAGGCCGCGATGGCGGGGAGGAGGCCGTGATGGCGGGCAGGATGCCGTGATACACTCACACTTCATACACTGACTCACTCATCATATGCTGACTCACTCACACATACACATACACTCACTCACACAACCACTGACCCATTCACTCATCATACACTGATTCACTCATCATACACTCACTCATCATACGCTGACTCACACATCATACGCTGACTCACACATCATATACTCACTCACACTACCACTGACTTACTCACACATCATACACTAACTCACTCATCATACTCTGACTCACACATCATACACTCACACATCATACACTGACTCACTCACACATCATACACTGGGAGTGTCAAGATGCCAGCTATGGCTGCAAGTTTGGTTGTACATGTTATGTATATCGTTTATTGTTAAACTTGAATCACAGTTCCTATGATTACTGTTGTTACATTGTTTTTATAGATTTATTTTGGTGATTTCGAAAACATGGTGAAGCCATGTTTCTTGCAGAAGTGTGGGGTTGGCCTGATAACTTTAATCTAAATTGTCGTATGGTTGTTATTGTTTGACTTGCATCACACTGGCATTTTTGCACGCAGTGTTGTAATATCGTGGGTTTTTTTCTGGAAGATTTGCCGATTTATCCAGGATGTTTCTGTTGCGCGTCGTCGCTTTAAGATGTTTCTCTGTTCATATTCTGTTTGTTGCGGTTGCACCTGTCTCAAGAGCCGCATGGCTCACAGGGCTATAACTAATAAATGAAACTTGAAACTCCAATCCCCCCAACGCTTCCACCTCACTCACTTACAGGGCTGGTTCATATAAAGGTAAAACTAAAACTATTTCTTTTTATTTTACCAGGTAAGGCCCACTGAGCTATGTAGCTCTTTTTCAGAAGCGACCTGGCCACAAAGGATAGCTCAACAAAGTGGCTTATCACATGGAAATGTATAGCAGCCAAATACTCTCAACGCATGTTTCTAAATGTTGAGGGGAAAAACCGGAGGATCTGGAGAAAATTCCACACTGCCACGGGGAGAGAGAGATGCAAAGTCCAAATATACAGCAAGCGTGAGGGTTGAGATCGAACCCACGACCTCCTGTATACCAGGTGAGGTAGGTAACATCTCGCCAGCGTGGTCTATGCCGTTTTTTTTATTTGAAGAAGTGAACAAGTGATGCGTTGGCATGATTGTGGCATCCGAAGATTGTAACTGTGGAGGAAGGTAAGGGGCTTGAGTCCCCCCCCCCCCCCCGCAGTGCTTCAGGCATTTGAGAAATCACTGTGAAGGTCACTGGCCGATTAATCAATAACAGGGCAATTTGGACGTCTTCCAAATTGCTAAATAAGATCTGTGCAGTGATATGTCTGGTTCTTTGATTATACACGCTGGTCTAGCCCTGTGACCTGTGACGTCTTGTTTTACTTTGAGATAACAAATATTTTTTGGCATAAACAGACCCGTGCAGAGGTCTTTCCATTCCTCACGTTATGAAACTCAAGGTTTAAATGTGCAAACATACTAATATATTTTATGAAGTTATACTGTCTGGCTTCCTAGTTGGCTGGCTGGAGCGTGGGTGGGCGGGCATCACGCCCACCCCTCCACCCCAGTCATGGATCCCGAGCAAAAAATGTTGGGATATTTTTAATTTTACCACGAAAGACCCACTGAGCTTTACAGCTCTTTTTCAGAAGCGACCAGGCCATCACAAATTATAGCTAAACGAAGTGGCTTATCACGGGTATACATTTATTGCAACCAAATACACCAAAAGCCATGTTGATTCAAAAAATCTGGAGGGAAAACCGGAGGACCCAGAGAGAAATCCACGCGACCACAGGAAGAGAATGACTTGCAACTCCAAATACACAGCAGGCGTCAGGGTCGGGGTCGAACCCACACTCCTGTATACATGCACAGGCAGTGCTGGTACATAATAATAATAGTTGGCCAAACATCCCAGGCAGAACTTTTTTGAACATCCTTTTTCTTGAATATGGCTCTGTATCACGACGAAAGTGCATGTCCCCAGGTCCTTATAGTCAAAGGGCAGCCCGAAGGAATGTCACCAATTTGTCTGCTGAAATTTCCGAGGCTCACGATGCCACCTGCCTTTCTCTGGTTTTCCACTTCAATAGATGAAAAAAAAAGACTTGAGTCACTGGAACAATAATTGGCACTTGTTTAATGATGTTTACTTGGTAACTGTCGCACTTAAAACATGTCTGCACTAAGTGCTGTTTGGGATTACTCATTATTTGCCGTGGGCATTGAGTCCAATGGAAAGAGATCAAGGTCCAATCCACTCAACGGAAATATCCATCTCGGAATCCCCAGTAGATGCAAATGGATACTTCAGCTTTGAAGGGAATACCCACTGAATGTGACATCATCATAGGGCTTCTCCCTATGTTTCGATTTAAAGCTTTCGTGACTGCAATGATTCATCTTCTTTGGTTCTTTCGGTAAAGTCACGTAGAATGAGAATAAAATAATAAATTGATAAAATAAAATAACACAATAATATTCTCACGACGTTTCGGCCACAACACAAGCGGCCTTCATCAGGTGAAGGGAGCGAGACTGTCTGGTAGGACAGCGCTGGAGTGAGAGGGCCACGTTCAGATCACGGCTTTTAAGCTGTGTGAGAGGAACAAAGAGCCTTGACGAAGGAATTAGCATAAAATTTAGCATTGAAATGGCTGAATGATTAGCTTGTGACTGGTCACAGAAATAGCTATGTTAAAAGTTAAAGCATACACATCCGCAGAGGCACCCATTGTTAAAAGGAATTAGCATAGAATTTAGCATTGAAATAGCTAAATTAAGGCATACACATCCGCAGAGGCACCCCTTGATAATGGGATTAGCATAGAATTTAGCATTGAAAAGGTTGAGTGATTCGCTTGTAACTGCTACAGAAATAGTTACGTTAAAGTCAGAGCATACACATTCACCGAGGCACTTAGTACAAATCAAACAGGAGAATTTAGCATTGAAATAACTAGGCGAATTTAGCATTGAAATAACTGGGTGATTTGCTAGTGACTGGTCACAGAAATGACTACACATCTGAGCTATTCACAGTACTATATAGTGAACCAATAAAAACTAAAATATAAATTACCTTCATGTTATCAATAAACTCTATATTCTCACACAGCTTAAAAGCCGTGATCTGAACGTGGCTCTCTCACTCCAGCGCTGTCCTACCAGACAGTCTCGCTCCCTTCACCTGATGAAGGCCGCTTGTGTTGTGGCCGAAACGTCATGAGAATATTATTGTGTTATTTTATTTTATCAATTTATTATTTTATTCTCATTCTACGTGACTTTACCAAAAGAACCAAAGAAGACTTCTCCCTATGTGTTTGTTATTTGGCCTCTTCTTCATATGACATCATTACAGTAGCAGAGTTTTTTGTTCTGTGCATTGAACGTTTTTCTTTTGAGTTACAAAGTAAAACCCTCTGCGAAACCAGGCAATTTGGCGAGGAGAGTGTTTGATGAATGAGTGAATGAATGAATGAACTGATCTAAAGCTGACGTGCATTGCTGCTATCGTCTCATTCCAGGGAGTGGGATTATCGACAGGAACCAGGCGGTGATCATGCTGCGGAACCAGCACAGGCGCTCGCAACTCTGGCAGCTGGAAGTCCAGTAGCGGTGCGGCACAACCACGACACGCCTAACACCGCAAAGTCCGGTTTGCCACCGCCAGCTGCTTGTGAAGCCGGCGCGGAGAAAGTCGCGCGGCACTCCGTGTTTGAACGCTTCTTCGAAGACGCCGGAAGTTTTTGGGTGGACGCATCAAAGAAGATATTTTTTTTTGTTGAGTGTGAGAACACGCTATTGAACTTGACACGTGCAATGTGGGTCCGTGTGTCCTTTTTCAGAATTCCAAGCTGAACCCCTCCCCACCCCACCCCACCCCACCCCTGGTCAACTTTGCCAGCTTAACCCTTTACCATTCCCAGACGCCTGCAAGTTGCAGGGTGGTGGGGTGTCCCCTTCACCCGCTGAATCTCGGAGATGCGCAAGCGGTTCGGCTTTAATTTCATTTAGAGAGGCGTAGTAGCGCCGCTGTTTTTTAAGACATTTTTCTGTACTCACCGCGGAGAACCGTAGTGACACGACCGCACTCTGCCGCACACGCCCTGCCGCGTGGCCTTTTTGATTCCGATTCCGTTCGGATTCGATTCCGTCGCGATGACATACGTCATCGTAACGGAATCGGAAGAAAAACCGACGACGCGCACACGCACACGTACGTCATCGGAGCGGGAGGGGGTGAACAGGCAACAAGAAACGTGAGCCATTTTCCTTGCACTCCGCGCGTTGAGTCGTTGCCACATTACCCCACTCATATCTCGTGGGGGGAAATGCGTGAGCGATGACGTGCAAGCATTCGCGACCGCGCGGGAAATTCGAAACCAGTCGTGAGCTGTGGAGAAAAAAAAAACATCTACCAAGTTAAATAAGAGTGATAATCTGGATATGACGTAGGCGTCGAGAAGTGGGGGGGGGGGAGTGTGAATGACACTTGCCTGTGCAGGCGATACTACCCGCGTGATAATGGCAAATGCACTCTGAAAGGTCGCTGAGCTGCACAAATGTCCTCATGGCGTAGCACCGTTTAATGTGGCAACAGCCCGACCGGGTAACCAACTTGTAGGACTTACAGCAAAGACGTGTATTTGTCAATAGGCAAAGCACTTTAAAACCACGCCGAACCTTCTTCTCTCCATTGGCCACGCATGCCTTTGTACGGCAGCCCGGCTGCTGAGCATTAGGGGATTTTGCCAGCTATGATATTCATTTTAAAATCTTCTTCTGCATGGCACTTGAAAAAAGCAGCAACCTGCAATTGTATGTTTAGTGTTGTAAGCCATTCCACTGCAGCATCCGGAGTGAACTATAAACTAAACTATAAACAATTTTTATTTTTCCAGGCAAGGCCCACTGAGCTATATAGCTCTTTATCAGAAACGACCTGGCCACAAACGGTAGCCAACCAAATGGAATGCCGCAGTATTTTTTCGTAATTATCTGAACGGAACGAACCCTCGTGCCCATCCGGCTCTCCATTGGCCATGCACGCCGCAGCCCGATAGCCCAGCAACCGCCAGCCCTCTGCCCTTTCGTGCCCTTTCAAGTAACTTTGGTCGCGCATGGGCAGTCGGGCAGACGGACAACTGAGACGCAGACACGCAGACACGGATGCACTCGCGCGGAGACGCGCAAAGATGCGCAAGAGACATGAGGTTCGCAGTTGTTTTATTTCGGAGGGGTTGGGGCGGGGGGGGGACATGGCTCGATCTGCGGTATATCTGAGTCCAGAGTGTCGTGAGCCATGTTCTGTCGGGCATTTACTGTACCGTTGATTTGGCTTCAAAACCCATGTGACCACTTTGTGACGAGAGGGCGGCATGTTCCTGCTGATTTGGGAGAAATCTTACTGAACCCACGCCAAGGTACAGACCCATGATATATTCTTGATTTACATGTTGTACAGCCCTGTTTTGTTAATCTACTGCCGGATGAGGGACCTTTCCCACGCCATGCAGGTCATATGTATTGTCTTGGCCACACTTCACCATGCTGGTCAGTGCAGTGATGATGGAGCATACAACAGTACAACAGTGGATTTTGGTGGAGCCCTGCAGGAGTCTATAATACCTTTTTCACTGCAGGGTGGTCACCCAAACACTATCCAACTTTAACCCTACTTAGCTTCCGAAATCTGCTGATAATGTCGTCGATGGTACTCAACCCCATTCAAGATATCAACACCAGCTTTAAGACAGTTAAAAATGCGTGCTGCGTGCTAGACCTTTATCCCCGATTCTTTTCAATTGTGATCGCCACTTAAGAGCATTTACAATTCCCAGCAACATGGCTAATGTGCCGGGTACTTACCCAAACGCGAGCAAATAATTGCCGAGTCAATTTCCCCTGGAGCATTAAAAATAAACCAACCGTGCACCCAACGCAAATTCCAATGTAAATGACATCTCGTTGAGTCCTGCCGGCCGGAGCGTCATTGTCGTCGGTAAATTTCACATTTAATCACACCTGGCCGCAATCGCAACGGCTTCGAATAACGCGATGGCATCGAAGCATTCGCGATATCGCCACCGCCACCTTTGTCAATATATCTGTTTGCGGAGCCGGCGGAGATGCGTTCGCTCGTGCGCCCTTTTGTCATCGCGAGCTAATTTGCAGAGGGTAAAAAATTGTTTGTGGCGCACTTTGGAGGGACATCGCTCCTCTGCCAAACACAAAGCAATTTGCCTTTCGCAGTAACTGTATACCCGCGTTGGGAAAAACCAGTTCTACGCGAGAATGAGATGCTGTGCTCTCCTTTACATGTGGACGTGTTGGGCGGGTACACTGGTGCAGCGTAACACATCATTCCTCGTAAAACTATTCGAAAATCTAAATTTGAACTGACATTCATCTTCCGACTGCTTCGTCCTCACGAGATCTAATTTTGACGCTCGCCACCACCCCGCAAGATTTTCTCACCGGGGTTGCAAATCGCCGGGGCAAATAAATAAAATCAACAACCATCACCCAAATATTTGTTTTTGTATACCACGCACCATCGGTGTTACCGCCAATACGTTCATGTACTCTCCAAATCCGTGATGAACTTACAAAAGTCAGAACGCTGGTGAAACTCGATATCCAAGGTGCTCTCAACGTGTTAGCCTCTTCGTGTTTTCAGGCAGTGTCTCTTAATGTGCATTCACCGAGCGAGTCCGTCGCCTTCACGATTTCTCCGCAGGCACCACCGGGCATTTTAAAGAGTGGCTCTGTCGGCTATGGGCAGCATAGAGAGTCCCCCATCATTCGGCAATGGCTCGTGACAATGAAGAGGGACGCCCAAATATATAACGAGTTCTGCACTGAGCAACCCTCCAGGATCGCCCGCGAAACGTTTTATGTTTCTCTTTAACTTTACAGCTGGGTTTTCAGACATCGATATAAACGAAGCTTCATTCTGTAGGAGCACAAGCTAATTTCCAGCATTGCATTATCCCCATGACAGAGAAGCATTCCCGAGAGGATGAAATGAGGTATTTCAAGACGGGCGTGTTATTACATTGGTCAGGATCGCAATGTTTTTTTGTTTTTGTATGAATACAGTACTGTATTTAAGTAATGCATGCAATTATCTGTATATTGTTTTTGCTGTTAGAGAATTTGTTGAATGCTGTATCTGCTGAAATGTGTTATTAAAGAGCATTTGGGGATTTCGCCAACTATGAAATTAATTTTAAAATCTTTTTTTGCGTGGTATTTGAAAAAAGCAGCAGCCTGCAATTGCACGTTTAATGTTGTATGCCATTCCACTGCTGAACTATAAACTAAACTGTAAACTATTTTATGTCACCAGGTAAGGCCCACTGAGCTATATAGCTCTTTATCAGAAGCTACCTGGCCACAAATGATAGCTCAACGAATTGGCTTACCACGTGGATATTGATAGCAGCCAAATACTCTAAACGCGCGTTGTTTCTAAATGTGGAGGCAAAAACCAGGGAGAGAGACTTGCATACTCCAAATATACAGGCGTCGTGGTTGGGATCGTACCCACGACCTGTATAACAGGCAAGGTAGTTAACATCTCGCCACCGCAACACCGAAGTGATAGCTCAATGGAGTCCGTTTTGTCCCACCAGAGCACGTGCGTTGCATTGGGCGGTCACCGGTGATATTCGCCTGGTGGTTTGCACCTCACCGCATTCACGGTTTTGCGAGTCCGTGATCTTCCATTCGTGGATGAAATATCAACAGCGTTAACGTGCAGGTTTTTTTAGTTTTTGTGCGGCCGCTATCCACGTTGGGTTTGCGTGTGTTGAGAACCCATCTCAAGCTTTCACCACACGCTGCTGTGGGAATATTTCAGGAAATCCGATGCGCTATGAAGCTCTTTTGAATTAGCAAAATAAAATAGGTGATATGCCTTCACATTTCTGTCCCTGCACGTAATTTTGTTTAAAGTATATTTTTTTACACATCCCCATCCCATCAGCCACATGGTCTTCTTGGAGTGCATAATTTCAGCAACATTTATTTCGACACAAGCAAACTCTGGACCGGGCTTCAACATTCAGTGGCTCTTCGGCAGAGCCAGGTTTGCTTGAACCAATGCTGGTGACCTGTCCGCTGTTTATAGGCGAGGAACCCTTGCTGTTGGACATGTGTCCCCTAGATTGCTTGTGGTTGAACCAATGCTGCTGAAAGAATGCACTCATATGGCTGTGTGGCTGATGGGATATGGAGATTCTTTCTTCCACCTTTTTAATGTAGAGGTAAAGATGTGTGAAGGAGATATATTGTCTGCTTATTTATTTTGTTGCTAATATTTCCTGCAATGACGCAAACTGTTAGGTGTTGCGGGTAATCTCACGTGGTGTTATTTGCCCTGTAATCTGCTGCCTCGGTTGAGCAAAGTACGATCATGGTCCATGGAATACCTTCATTGTCTCCTTCATGAACACCGATTGTTCTGTGCCCGTTTGATCTCGGGGTAACTTTGATGACTTATGTATACTGGCCCCGGTATTGATCTCTCTTAAGAATATCTGTAAATCGGTTCCCTCTGTGGTAGAGCCACATCCCTGTGTTTGTGTTGTATTTTTGTTGTTGTTGGCATGAGGAGCTGATCAATCAGAGTCCGTTCCAATGTTGTGCCTGGTATAGCGCTTGAGAGAATTGCTGTGCCTGGAAAAGCGCTTGAGAGAATTGCTGTGCCTGGCATAGCGCTTGAGAGAATTGCTGTGCCTGGCATAGCACTTGAGATAATTGCTGCGCCTGGCATAGCGCTTGAGAGAATTGCTGTGCCTGGCATAGCGCTTGAGAGAATTGCTGTGCCTGGCATAGCGCTTGAGAGAATTGCTGTGCCTGGCATAGCGCTTGAGATAATTGCTGTGCCGGGCATAGCGCTTGAGAGAATTGCTGTGCCTGGAAAAGCGTTTGAGAGAATTGCTCTGCTTGGCATAGCGCTTGAGAGAATTGCTGTGCCTGGCATAGCGCTTGAGATAATTGCTGTGCCTGGAAAAGCGCTTGAGAGAATTGCTGTGCCTGGCATAGCGCTTGAGAGAATTCCTGTGCCTGGCAGAGCGCTTGAGAGAATTGCTGTGCCTGGCATAGCGCTTGAGAGAATTGCTGTGCCTGGCATAGCGCTTGAGATAATTGCTGTGCCTGGCAGAGCGCTTGAGAGAATTGCTGTGCCTGGCATAGCGCTTGAGAGAATTGCTGTGCCTGGCATAGCGCTTGAGAGAATTGCTGTGCCTGGCATAGCGCTTGAGATAATTGCTGTGCCTGGCATAGCGCTTGAGAGAATTGCTGTGCCTGGCAGAGCGCTTGAGATAATTGCTGTGCCTGGCATAGCGCTTGAGAGAATTGCTGTGCCTGGCAGAGCGCTTGAGAGAATTGCTGTGCCTGGCAGAC